TAAATGCTTATTCTTATGTATTTATATCAGAGCTACTTTTACAAAGTACAACTTGTTCGACATATTACGAAATAATCGTTTACAATTTACCTATGTGAATTTTTGGTGCACGTTCGCAAATTAATATTAATAATTCTTGAAATTTATTATTCTGACAAATATATTTATTTATTTATTTATTTAGATAAAATAAATTCTAAATTAATTGGACAATTAGAGTTATCGAACTTTAAGTGAAAACAAATGATAAACTTTTTTTTATAATACCTAAAGTAACCTATTACTATTATTATTATTATTATTATTATTATTATTATTATTATTATTATTATTATTATTATTATTATTATTATTATTATTATTATTATATTATTATTATTATTATTATTATTATTATTATTATTATTATTATTATTATTATATTTTATCATTATTATTATTGTTATTGTTCTAATTGTTGTTTTTTCATTATTGTTATTTTTATTATTTTTTTATTATTATTATCATTGTTAATATGTTAATATGTTAATATCATGTTAACAACATGATCTAAATGTTGTTTTTTTATTATTGTTTTTCTTATTGTTTTATTACTAAAATTATACAAATATTAAGTTATCTTGCAGCAATCTTGCGGCAAGCTTGCAAACATTGACGAATATTTCTTTAAGCAATATTGTCGTCATTTTTTTTAAAATTGTAAAAAAGCATAATATCTCATATTATAAAAAAATAATTTAACAGAGAAAAAAATTTCTTTCGAAAAAATTAATTTTCTTCTTTTCAAAAACAAAAAAGAATATTTTTGCAAAGAAATTATTTACCATATATTGATTTCTCTTTATCGATACAAATAAATTTTCAATATATTTCTTTTATTTTTCCCCTAATTTTTTAAATAAAATGAATGTGAAAAAAGTCCATGCCATTGGCAGAAGATCAGTTTACGTTATGCATTTATGTATTTCAGTATTTAAGTAGAAAAAGTTTGCGTTTGGTCAGACAATGGAAAAAAAATTCTTCACGTAGAACATACGAAAACTTTAATTAAAATACTAAAATACTAAATACTAAATACTAAATACTATTAAAATACTAAAAATTAATAACAATTTCATATTTTTTAATAACTTTGTAATAACAAATATAAATAAATTTAAAAAATATGAATTTTTATGATGAATTGAAGCTTTTCTGTTATTGAACAACATTATAATAAGTTAGCTTTTATTTAATTTCGAAGTAGAATTATTTAAAATACATAATCTTATTGTTTAAATAATCTTAATTAACAAAAGCATAACTTTGTTAATTTGTGTCATAAAATGTTCATTCCTTTTAAAAAATATTTCTAGAAGACTCAGCTTAAAGTTTTTGTTTCGTGAAACAGCCTAAAAACATTATTAATTGTTTCATTAATATTAAAAGTAAAACGACATGAACTTTTACATTACATATAAATAAAATTTTTTTAAATTATTGATAAATAGTTTAATAATGTGCTAATTAAATACAATTATTATACTATACTGTAAGGTGAATTCTATTGCATTGATTTTATGAAAAAAAAGACATTTTCCACCAAAAATTAATAACAATAAGAATTTTTATATTTATAAAAATAATAAATAAATAAATTCTTTTTTTAAAAATATTCGCCATTAAATAAGGAGTTATATTCAATAAAAAAATTCTTAAAAATGTTGGGAGAACATGAATTTATTTTTAATTGTTCAAATAAATTATTATTTATGTTTTTAACAATTTTTTAAATTTTCCACAATGACAAATATTAATGAAAAGAGGTATTATTATTTCTTGTTATTCATGCCAAAAATCAACTCGATTCCTCTTTATAGAACAGAAAAAACTAATTAATTTCGAAATCCATATGAAAAAATATTAACTATTAAAAAAATTAAAATTTCGCAAAACTGTGCAACTTGTATTTTTTCTTTATCATATAGAGTATAGAAAAATGTTATTCGCCCATCGAAAAATGATAACTCACTTTACAAATTTTGACACTGAGAAAAATTTCCAATTACCGCATTATTCAATTTTATTTTTCTATTTGTCAGAATTTCAAATTTTTTCCAGAATTGAAATTTTAATTAAATGAAATATTTTTATTTTTATTATTTCCATGTAGGTCGATTATAAGAAATCAATTTTCGAAGTGGATTTTTTTTCTAAACGCATCCGTTTTCAATTATGGAATTTTTACACCAACTAATAAATAAGGCAATAATCGGAAGTAGAAAATGAGTTATAGTTTTCTTTATTATATATATATATATCGCTCGCGATATCAATATATATATATAAGTATAGTTACGAAATATCTGACAACTAGTCTTACTTTACACCGGCTTACGAATGCATTGTATATTATAAAAATGCTCATAAACAGTAACGCCCCAAAATAATCAATCACTCTTGCGAAGCTTCTAATCTGATTACGTAAATATTCACCTAATGACGTATGACCTTATAATATACATATAATTTTTTTTTCGTTGAAATCTTTGGAATGCGATGGTTGCCATACATATATATATATATTTTTTTTTATATACATATATGTATGCCTACGAATATCCATTTACACCGTGGTATAATTATTAAAAATTATTAATCCAGTTTATTTTATGGATTCTTTAATAATTAATAATATGCCAATTACAAAATATCTTTTGTGTATTTCATATATTTGAGATATTAGTAGTACTTGACCTTGGCTTAAAATAAACGACAAGGTCTTAAAATACAAATTTTTTCTTCTTTGATTATTAATAAAAATTTCCTCTGTATCCGCGTATTTCAAAATTGAAAATTTGGTTTTCAATTTTGTAAATAATTTTTTTATGAAAAATGATAATAATAATAATTATATTATTTTATAAATAATAATTATATTATTATTATTTAACAATAAAATATATTTTTATTATTATCGTTTTTTATTCGATTCATTTATTTCTTTATTTAAATATTTTATAATTCTGTAGATTCATTAGTGTATTAATTTATTTAAATTTTAAAAAATATTTTATATAATATAAGAAAAGGTTTTTTTTAACTTTGGTTTTGGTTTTGGTACATAAGCAAATTTTGATTTTCACTAAAAAATAAAAGAATTTGTTGTAGTTTAAAAATTTAAATAAAGGAAATATGTTGGTAAAATAAATTTACTGTTAATTAAAAATTTTGTTTAAAACAAATTTAGTTTTTCAATAAATTGATTTAGATTTTTCTTACTTAAGATAAGAATATTTTATTAATGCCACACAGTGAATGGTCACTTGTTATCAAAGTCCATACATTCTATATGGAATGTCACCTTTCAAGGAGATAAAAATGTGTAATTGTTAAGCAATTCTGTTAAACAATTGCGAGCACATTTTTTCTTCTTATTTATAAATGTAATAATCAAAAAAAAAAATAATAATAATAATTTTCACACTATTCTTTTCGCGGAAAATATTATAAAATTTTTAGAAATAAAAATAAAAATTAACGTCAGCAACAAAATGAAGGAGTAACTTATCAATTAAGCAATAAATTAAACTTAATAAATTCATTTAGAAATTATTTATTTTCATTTATTTACTTCACTTGTCAATCATCAGATATTATATGTGTATAAATTATAAATAATTAAATAAATTACATTAATAAATAAATAAAAATGTCCACTAAGAAATAGATGGAAAATTGTAGAATTTACAAAATAAAATGAAAAAATAATTAAATGAATAAATTAGTGAACAAAAATATAAATAAACCGTAATTATTTATTTATGCAATTTTCCCAATTTTGCAAATTTTTTTGTTAATTCTTTTTGGAAAAACAAATACATAAACAAATAAGTAAACAAATAAAAGAATGAGAAAATAATTAATTAATATAATCAATAAACAAATAAACAAAAAAAAGATAAACAAATAAACAAATAAACAAATAAACAAATAAACAAATAAACAAATAAACAAATAAACAAATAAACAAATAAACAAATAAACAAATAAACCAATAAACAAATAAATAAACAAATAAACAAACAAATATATAAACAAATAAAAAATAAGTAAACAAATATGTAAACAAATAAAAAAAACAAATAAACAAACAAATAGGTAAACAAATAAAAAAAGTAAACAAAAGTAATTATTAACCTAAATTAATTACCTAAACTAATAATTAAAAAATAAATAAAGAAATAAACAAATAAAAAAAAGTAAATAAATATACAAATAATCAAACAAACAAATAGTCTAATAAACAGTTAAATAATTAAATAAACAAATAAAATAATAAACTAATAAATAAGCAAATAATTATTATTGTTAAATAAATAAACAGTTGAATAAGTATTTAAATAAATAGTTAAATAAATAAATGAACAAATAAATAAGTAAATAAACTAATAAATAAACTAATAAATAATAACTAATAAATAAATTGATAAATAAATAAATAAATAATAAATCAATTTATACCTAGACGAAATGAAATAATTAAAAAAATAAACAGTTAAATAAAGAATGAAATAAATAAACAAATTGTAAAACAAAAACTATTGCAAACTGCATTGGAAACAATTTTTTAATTTTCTTAAGGGTGGGGGAGTTTAAACTAATTCATCTCCTCCCCCCCCTCCTGAAAAAATTGATAACTGACCAAAATAATAAAAAAAATGTCAAGCAAACGTGCGCACAATTGTGGGAAGGCATTCCGTGAAAGTGATTTGTCGTTGCATATAAAAGAAACTCTCAATGTGACGAAAGAAGAAAAAAAAAGAAAAAAATTATGTAAAATGCAACAAAGTAAACGTGCGCTTGGGACTAAATCGAAAACGCTTCTTTGCGCCCCCGGGGGAATTTAATGAACCATCGATCGTTAGTTGATAGGCAATTGACGTTGAGCGCGATGCAGGTCCGCGTTTTCATCGATATGCCAAGCAATGGCCTCGAAAAGAAAAGTCAATGCGACTCACCAATAGGATAAGAACACTGCTGCTAGCGGTACGTCCGAAGGATATTCCGTTCGCCATCTCTCTCTATCTCTCTCTCTCACACACTCTCCGTCCTCCTAATTCTAAATCATCTTGTTAAAAATGGTTTTGAAAATTCTCCCGCCAAAAAATTTTTTCTTTTGACAAAAAAGAATTTTGTTTTTTTTATTTCCTCTTCCTTGGAAAAATCTTTCTATTCAGGACAATTTTCCATTAAGCTTCACCTTCACCTTGGTCGTCCATCGATGGTCCATGGAGTTGAGAAATTTTTTTTTTTTCCTTTTAATAATCACAATTTTCGAAAAAAAAAATAGTGTATATTTTTCCCTCACAAATTTAATATATCCAAGAAGAGGGATTTTTTTTTTCGAGGAAAAATTGAAGATGAAGGACTAGAAAAATATTGGTTTTTATATTGATGATGTTGATGATGATAAGTGTTAATTTATGCGGAGATCACTTAAACAAGCGTGATTGAAACGTTGCGGAATAATTATTGTGTGCGGTCCTGACCGTCGCACAAGGCACGGGCAACTGACAACGGGTCACAGACGCGACTGTGAACGGCTCCATGCCGCTCACAGCTGATTCAACCGGCATGGCACGGTCCCTCATTCCCTCTCTCTTCTAGTTGGAGATTTTTCATTTTTTAATCTATATAAAAAAATCCATTTCAAAGCAAAAACAATACACTGCATTGAGGGGTGAAAAAAAATTACTTTTAATTTGAGAAAAAATAAATCTGTCCGATTTTATAGCACAGAATATTTTATTCACATTCTTGGAATATTTAAGTGGAATATTAGAAATATTCCAAAGAAATATTCCATTGAAACATTTAAAAATATTCATAAAATATATTCGAGGTATATTAGGTACATTAAAATATTCAAAAATTTTACCTAAAAAACATTCCCTTGGTCGGACCTTGGAATGTTCTTTTGGAATAATTTTGGAATATTCCATAAAAATATTGTGGTAAATATTCCATTGGAATTTTATCCAAAAAAAATTCTTTTATTATGAATAAATAAATTATTATTACCCCCCCCCCCCAAAAAAAAGCACAAAATATTGTGTACACATTACTGCAATATTTAATTGAAATATTAAGAATGTTCCAAAGAAATATTCCATTAAAACATTAGAAGTATTCATAAAATATATTTGATATTTTAGGTTCATTAAAATATTCCAAAATTATTCCAAGAGAACATTCCCTTGGTCCGACCTTGGAATGTTCTTTTGGAATATTCCATAAAAATATTGTGGTAAATATTCCACTGGAATTTTATTAAAAAAATATTCATTTATTATGAATAAAAGAAATTATTATTAATCGCTCAAAAAAAATGTCAAAATATTGTGTACACATTCCTGCAATATTTACTTGGAATATTAGAAATATACCAAAGACATATTCCATTGAAAAATGTCTTTGAAATATTCTAAATGTTGCAATGGAATATTTCTTAGAAATATTCCATTGCAACATTTAGAATATTTCAAAGAAATTTTCCATTAAAAAATTTGAAATATTCCGAAGAAATATTCCATTGAAACATTCAGAATATTCTAAAGAAATTTTTCACAAAAATATTGTGGTGAATATTCCATTAGAATTTTGTTAAAAATAATCTTTTATTATGATTAAATAAATGTTATTACCCTCAGAGCACGGAATATTCCGTATACATTCCTGGAATATTACATTTAAACATTAAGAACATCCTGAAGAATTATTCCATTGAAACATTTAGAATAGAATACTCTGACGAAATATTGTTTAAAAACATTTGGAATATTCCGAAGAAATAATCAATTGAAATATTTTTAGAATATTCTATTGAAACATTAGGAATATTCCGAATAAATATTACAATTGAAACATTAGAAGTATTCATAAAATATATTCAATGTTTTAGGTACATTAAAATATTGCAAAATTGTACCAAAACAACATTCCCTGGGACGGTTCTTCGAATTTTTTTTTGGTATAATTTTGGAATATTCCATTAAAATATTATGGTAAATAATCCATTGGAATTTTATAAAAAAAAATATTCCTTTATTATCAATAAATAAATTATTATTACCCCCCCCCCCCCAAAAAAAAGGCACAAAATATTGAATACACATTCCTGCAATATTTAATTGGAATATTAGGAATGTTCCTAATTAATTTTCCACTGAAACATTTAGAATGTTCCAAAGAGATTTTCCATTAAAACATATGGAATATTCCGAAGAAATATTCCATTGAAACAATTAGAATATTCCAAAGAAATTTTCCATAAAAATATTGTCGTGAATATTCCATTGGAATTTTGGAAAAAATATTTTTTTATTTTTGAATAAATAAATTATTATTACCCTCACAGCACGAAATATTCCCTATACATTCCTGGAATTTCTATAATATTCCAATTACAATATTCCTATTATATTTCAATTTGAATATTCCAGTTGTATAATATTCCTACATTACTCCAAAGAAATATTCCAATGCTTGACATTTTAATATTCCTAAACTATTAATGGAATATTCCAAAAGAAAATTTCTAATGTTGTAATGGAATATTCCAATACCTGCCATTTTAATATTCCTAATCTGTGAATGAAATATTACAAAGGAATATTCTAATAAAATAATAATATTCTAATATTCTAATCAAATATTCCTAATATTCTAATCGAATATTCCAAAGAAATATTACTAATATTCTAATAGAATATTCCAAAGGAATATTCCTAATATGCTGATCGAACATTCCAGGAATGTTGATAGATTATTCCATGATATTGGAGGAGTATTTTCTATTGGAATATTCCATCAAAATATTGTAGGATTATTCAATTGAAATTTTGTAGTTCATCAACAGGAAAAATTGTAAAAATTAAATAGTAATATTCCGATGGAATATTTCTACACTATTCCAATGAAATATTCCCATAATGATATTTTGATGGAATATTCCCATATTATTCTAAAAATATAATTCAGATTTAATGAAATCCCCCTTAGTTTTTGTAATTTCTTCTATTAATTAAAAAAAAAATTGAAACTTTTCAAAAAAAAAACAAAATCAAAACAAATTTTTGAATAATATTTTGCAATATTATTGCAACAATTAGTGAAATTTGTTAATAATAAAAAAGATTTGATATATTTTTTAAAACTTTTTTGGAAAATAATTATTTTATTAATATTGTGCAAATATATAATGTATTGAATTTTAGAAAATCAACAATAACAGTAAAGTTGTGAGTTTTATAGTATTAATTTTATAAAATATGTAATAAAAATTTATATCTTATATCAAAATGAAGAAACCTTTCAAGGTAACTCTATTGGATTGTTATTTAAATGAGGTCATGAGAAATATCAATTAATTAATTCTATAAAAGCTGTAAAATGATAATATCCCATATTATCTATTGGTCAAAATCCTATTCATCTGAATTACATATAATATATATTGCTCTGTTAAATAAAAAGTGCAAATGTTGTAAAATAAAAATAGTGACAACAATTTATTATTTTGTAATAAATATTTACAATAATAAAATTTATTTACATAATTCTCTTTTTACATGTGTTATAAAAGTAATTAATATATGAACAATCATGAAATCAAAATTGATTTAAATATTTTAAAATTATATATTTTTTTTATATATTTATAAAAAAGTGTTAGTTATATTTTTGCATTTCAATTTTGTTTATCTAATTGTTTTTTATACATAACTCGCTGAATCACATTCCAGTTTTTAGAGGCGAAATATTTTATATTTAGAAGAAAAAGTTTCTTTGTTTTATATACAATTAATATTTATTGAATTTATAATTCTTTATTATTATCACAATATATTTTTTGAATAAAAATAACTTATAATTTCATTTCACTTTTTCTTTATTTTTTTATGGCAACAAAAAAATAAAAAAAAGAAAAAAGAAATTACAAAAAAAACAAGAAAACATCACAAGAATGAATTAATAAAGAAAGAAAAATTTAAAAGAAGTTTTATTCTTATTATTAAAAAAGAAAAAATTAAGAAAACAAAAATAAGAAAAAAAACAAATAGAAGTAGAAAAGGAAGTGAAAGAGAAAGGAAAACAAGAACAAAAAGACAAAAATGAAGAAAAAAGAAAAAAACAAAAAAAAAAGTTAAAAAAAGAAGAAAAAATGAACAAGTAAAAAATAAAAAAGCAGAAAAGAAGAAAATAAAGAACAAAAATTCAAAAAAGAAAATCAAAAAATAGAAGAAAACAGAAGAAGAGAAAAAATATCGAGAAGAACAAGAACAAAGGAAAGCAGAATAATGAAAAGAAGAAAAAGAAAAAATGCAATAGAAAAAAGAAACGAACAAGAAAATAGTAAAAAAATAAGAAACAGTAGGAAAAGAAGTAGAAAAAATAAGAAAAGGCAAAAGGAAATAATACAACAATAGCAGAAAATGAAGCAGAAAATAGAAAAAGAAGACCAAGAAAAAATAAGAGAAAATATAAAAAGAAGTAGAAAAAAGCGTAAAAATATTAAGAAGAACAGGAATAAGAAAAACGAAAAAATCAGAAGATAAAAAAGAAAAAGAAGAAAAGAGAAATAAAAGAAAAATAAAAGAAAAATAAAAGAAAGTATAAAAAGAAGCAGAAAAAAAAACAAAAAATATCAAGAAGAACAAGAAAAACGAAGAAAGCAGAAGACAAGAAATAAAAAAGACAAATAAAAAAGACAAAGGAAAAAAGAAAAATAAGAAAATCAAAAATATCAAGAAGAACAAGAAGAAAGAAACTGAAGCAGATAAGTGAAAAGAGAAAAATGAAGAAAACCATAAGAAAAAAAATAAAAAAGAGATATTATAAGTATATAGAGAAAAAAACAAGAAGAATAATTAAAAACAAAAACAAGAAGAAAAACAACAACAACAACAACAACAAAGAAAAAGATGCAAAATAGGATTAATAGAAACAAGAAAATATTCAAAGAATAAGAAAAAGAAAAGGAAGTAAAAAGAATAAAAATCAGAAAAATAAAAAGGAAGGAGAACAAAAAGATTAAAAAATTTAAGTAGAAAGAAGAAGTAAAAAAAAGAGAACGTCAAGAACAAGAAAAAAAGAAAATGCAAAAGGAAAAGAAGAAAAAGAAAAACAATAAAAAGAAGAAAAAGAGGATGAAAAATAGAAAAAATTATAAAAAGAAGAACAAGAATAAAAAATAAAAAGAAGGAAAAAAGGAAAAAAAGAGAAACAAGAAAAAGGAAAAAAAAAGAAAAGTAAGAAAAACAAGAAAAAAGAAAAATAAGCAGAAAAAAATAGAATAGAATAAGAAAAAGATAGAAAAAGAAAAGAAAAAAGAAAAAGAAAAAAATATAAAAAAAGAACAAAACAAATAAAATAAACCGAAATATGAAAAAGGCAAAAAAAAAGAAAAATAAGACAAAAAAATAATAAAAAAAAGGCTGGGAAAAAGAACAAGAATATAAGAAAAAATTGAGATGAGGAAAAGGGTGGAGAAGAAAGAAAATGTTAACGAAAAACAA